TGGCGTGCAAAGGTGCAAGAAACACACACTTTTTGGTCAAAAATAGAGAGATATAGAGGGAGATATATATGTTTTGCCTTAAGCCAATCTGAACCTTTGCCAAGGAAGAGGAGGGCCTCTCTTATAGAGATACAAGGCTAAAGCTTCTTCAAGAAGCTAAAAATCAAGGCTCAAGATCCTCCATACACGTATATGGAGGATACAAACTGTGCCTTCCAGCTGGCACAGTTGGCACACACTCACAGAGACCAAACTGAGGGAGGCAGGCCGACCAGTTCAGGTGGTCGGCCAACCATTTCCCCTGGTCGGCCGACTAGTTCAAAAGGTCCAACCCAAAAAAAGGTGCTCGGCAGCCCCATTTGGTGGTCTCCACATTGAATGCAAGCTAGTGGTATGGCAAGAGACCAGTAAATATGGCTCAAAGACCAAGGAGACCAGCTTCTTGACAAGAAAATTGGCTGGTGGGGAAAAGTGGTCTCCAAGGAGAAAAGGTGGTCTCCCACCCTTGTACCACCTCCCAAACAATGAAAACAAGGTCCATGCCAAAAATGAACCAAGACGGATGCAAAACGAGGGTTCGGCAGTCAAAACGCACAGCCGGGTGCCCCGAAAACAGGCTATTAAGCAACGAAAGTGGCGTGCGACCACAAAGGTGGTCTCCTGGGCCACAGTGTCCCTCTAGAGAGAGGAAGCAAGGTGTGTGCCAAAAACCGTGCCAAACGGAGAATGTTAAGCGGTCCTGAACTGAGGCGCGCGGCTGACGGCTCCGAAAACCGGAAACTGGTCTCCAAACGGGAAAAGTGGCCTACGATGACGAAAAGTAGCCTACGGCCACTGAGAGATGGCAACCATAATCTATGGAGCTAACTCTCCGGCACAATCAAAAACAACCAACGCCTGACTTTGCTCAAATCAAAACACATAATTAGTAATACAAGCTAAGTCGCTACATGATTCAATTACACGAAGCTAAAGAAAACAACCACATAAATATGTTAAAACCATAGTTTGAAAACATTTTCTTACTTATACAATTTCTCATAAATTGTTCCAAACTCCCACCGTTTTCCAATGAAAAGATTTGTTTCAAAAAACTCCTAATCCAAACCAATTGTTTTGCAAACATTTTTCCAAAACAAACCGTAATATTTCAACCCAAAATTTTTTGGTTGAAAGACAATGACATAAGAGGTCATAAACCAACAAAAATAACTTCCAAACCCGCTTTCTCAACAACCAACTGATGAATCCCAACCATCACCCAACCATATACATCATACCTACGTTGATGCTACAACACAACTAAAACATTTCTATAATAACTCTGAATAGAAATAATCATGGTGCTAATAGAGATAAGACAGCACAAACGACTTCCCCAATTCCAGAAGTTTCCAAACTATCGTAAACAGATACACCGTTGATCAACTTTACACAATGGCGAAGTGCCCTCGCAAACCAACATTTGAAAATGTTACCCCAACTTGAGGGGTTCCACAAACTCACACCAACAATACACACACATAAGTGAGGCACGATGCCCCTAAATATGACCGAGAGTATTACTCAACCTTACAACTCATTTGCTTAAACCAAAGCAATTCCCGAGGTGATTACTTGTCACCCAACTTCGATTATCAAACATTTAACCCACCAATTCTAAACCAAACCAAACAAACCAAACTAATCCAATATACCAATTCTCTACTCTTCAAATCCGAACATCTACCTGCTAACCAATACCGATCACCCCTATCTGAGGTTCAACAAACACCAACATCACATCTGAGTCTGAGCTGGTTTGGAATCACAAACATCAATAACAAATTCATAATCCACCTGAGTCCGAACACACATAGAATCACAAATACAAGCATTGCCCATCTTCCTATAAGACGCGAGTCTCACACTATCTCAAAATACACATTTCTAACACCTTTCTAAAAAGGGTCACATCAATTCCAAAACTCTAACCAGTTCCCAAAACCCAAACACACAAGATATGACACTTCACTATCAAGCACACCAGAACCAATCACAATAATAGACAGACTTAGAATCGTACTAGGGTTTCTATTCTCCACAACACTACATCCCTTAAGGAAACTCAACATCCAACACACACCCAAGTCGCTAGGGCAAAACAAACAAACAAACAAACATAAGCATACAATGCTAGCAAGGACCAAACTCCTACACACCACACACAATACAATCAATAACAACCCAATAACGAAACCCCCAAATTGCCAACACTGTCCTTCCGAGGACCACTATACAATACATGCCCACACTGGGGCAATGACATCCAATAACACGCAACTACTCATGACTGATAGAAAGTAAACCTTTACTGTGTATCGAGCTCCATGCTAAACACAACAAACTCTGCCCCTAGTTGCTTCTCACTAGGCCTTGTATTCTCTAACAATAGGAATCACGGATATGGCCTCATTTTTTCCCCAGTCTTACACACCCCTATCCTATCTCCTCAAACAACCACTACCAAAACCGTCTCTTTAACCCAAAATAACGACACCTAAGTGTCGCTATCAACTCCAAAATAACACCCAACTCGCCTACAATTGCGCCAAAGAAATAGTCTCTCGACATACTCAACAAAAGATTTTCTCAATCCTTTCCTGAGTGGAAGGAGGAAACAAAACAAAACCTGGCTCAGAGAGCCTTGGTAAAACCACCCTCAACACACCACCCACAATTTAGTGATTTTGTTTAAAAGTTCCAAAAATTTGGACTAACGCTTATTGATTGAAATTGAATGGTTCAAGGATTTGATTAGGGGAAATGGGTTTTTTTATTTTTTAAATATTTTTGCTAAATGTGGTTGAAAATTTAGCACAATGTTTATATGTGAGTTTCTTGAGGCTCTCTACACCAAGAGAGTTGTTGTCTTGCTATTGGGTGTAGTGACAACTGTGTCTCTTTTGTGATTAATTAAAACCGAACGCAAATTTCCATGTTAAATGTCCAGGTTAGTCTTTCCAAGGTGATATAAATCCAAGTTCTGCCATTAATTGTGCAAGTTCCAAAGTTCTATTACACCTTTTGATCCTAGATATTGAAAAATGTAATGCCTCTAGAGACATAATATAAACACATCCATTAGAAGACAATTAATTTCAAAAGATTTTTCCTTTACAGTTCCATGTTTAATATAATAATTACATTTCATATATAATATAGTTCAATAAGCTAGAGGACAAAATAAATAGCCTTAAAGGCTTACAACAATTCAAGGCAGTGCCTTGTTACAACAAAAATGGACTCACGGTCCGAACAAATAAGCTTGGAGCTTCCATATTTACACATCCTTGAGCCTTAGCGATCCAATCCACAACAAAAGAGTATGCTTCAACTTACTGAGAAGGTGGTATATCACCAATTCCTAAAAGTTTAGATAGGGATGAGCAATATGCCCAGTAGAGATACATTTAACAGAATATCCAATCATTTGAAGTTCCAAGTGGCATCATCATAACTCAAATAAAATTTTAAAGTTCATGTCCACAAATTACACAATTAAGAAAACAATTACAATTTTTATTCCATAGCAATAGAAAACCTTTCTCAACATAGGAGGTAAATATGCCATATAAATCACTCGTAGGAGCCCCACACTACATATACACATAGGTTTACAGCCATAACTATTTCCCACATTTGCCGGCTATTAATACGACATGTAGTGGACACCCAAAACTATCTGTTTTTCTACTTTTACCAACTATTATACAACAGGACCAATGGATACCCTTTTTTTTTTTCCAAATTCGTCCAGCGATAAGCTCAAGACAAGGCAATTGGGCACCTTAAATTTCCCGCACGGGTACCTGTAGACACCCCATTTTTGACCGTCCTCAAGACTTGGACGTCACCGCTTAAACACTCGGTGATCATCCATGTTTGTGTTCATCTTGAGTTCCCGGAGGCCTCAGCTATGCGCCTTGCCTCAGGATCTCTCGACTCGACCGTTTTGTGTCTGGTTTTGCACCAAACACTTGTGTTTTTACTTTGGAGGGCAGGGAATGGCTTTTGGGACATCTCCACACTCCACCGGCCATGGCTTGAGGCCACCGACTGTGTTCTGTTGCCATCGGCCAAAATTTGACTGCCGGTCGACCACTTTGATGGCCGCCCAGCCAAGTGTGGTTTCCAACAGATATTTCTGTAAACAGCTGGCAGCTGTCATTCTAGGCCATACCCCAGCCCATGCCTGGGCGTGGGTGTTCTGAGGAGCTGCAGATTGATACATATCTATATTAATCAAGCTCTCTCACATAGGAGAGAAGAGGAGGAAGAGATATACAACTTGGAGCAAAAAAATCTCAAAATTCAAGGTCAAATGTGTCACAATTGAAAAATTAGAGATTAAAATGACACAAACTCTAAACTATAGGGACTATTAGTGTAATTTGCCATTCTTTTTATTTATTTATTTCTGGCAATATTCTAGATATTTCGGTGAGTCTCCAGTGATGTTCTTAACGTCCAGTGAACATTCTGAACATTCCGGCGACTTCCATTAATGTTCTTAACACTCCGGTGAACTTTCGACGATACTCCGGTAACTTCCCACCGATACTTCGGCGACTTCCTGGTGATACTGAACATTTCGATAAGTCTCCGGCGACCATTTGACGGAAGTCCGACAGTAATAAGATGAAACAGTGTCTGTAAATTAAAAAAAAAAAAGATTTTTTGATAACAATTAAAAATGTATAGGACTAATTGGTGCAAGTGTTTTGTTTGAGAATTAGATGAGCCTTGAATTTTGTATAGGAGACTTATTAGTAAGTTTTCTTACTCTAAATAGGTGTATTTTTTAAAATTTTTGTAAGAAAATATATAAGGAAATAGAGAAAGTAATTAAAAAAATAAAAAGGGATGGTAATAGATGTTAATTGATATGATTTCATACTTAAAAAAGTACGATTTTTTTTTGGTTTACCCAAGCACCTCAGTGAAGTGAGCATGCACCGTCCTTTTTAAGGTCCAGATCCGACCTATAAAATCCGTATTCAGTGAAACCGAGCAGCGGTGGAACTTGAAATTGGAAGGGCGACACTCTCGTTTTTGAAAGCAGCAGCAGCAGCAGCAGCAGTAAGCGCGGCGGTGGCCATGTCGGAGCCAAGCGAGTATAGCCTCCGCAGCGGGCCGTACCTGGGCGAAATATCAGCCCTCTGTTTCCTTCACCTACCACCCCCTCATCTCTCTTCTACTCCTTACCTCCTTGCCGGTACACTTATCTCTCTCTCTCTCTCTCTGTCTGTCTCTCTCCTTGCCAGAAGCAATTTTACAATGTTGTTGACTCAACAGGGACCGGTTCTCAGCTTCTGCTCTATCAGTTGGAAACGGGAAAAATGGTTAAATCATTTCACGTGTTCCAAGGTATTCGAGTCCATGGAATTACGACTTGTAGCTCTATTAATGGCAATGGCAATGGCCATGGCAAAGACAGATCCTTTTCTTCTCCAATTGACTTCAATATTGCTGTGTTTGGGGAAAGGAGGGTCAAACTGTTTACCTTATCCATTCAAATGGATTGCCAATTCCAAGATCAACCACAAGATTTTATTCATTTTCATTTGAATTTATTACATTTGTTACCCAAATTTAGTCATTGGGTTTTGGATGTTTGCTTCTTGAAGGTAATTAATTATTTCTAACTTTCTTTTCTATTCTAGTTACATTCTTGTTGCTAAATATCTTATGATTTTATCATTCTTTGCTCTTTTATTTTGCATGTGGATCGGTAGTAGGACCATGCAAGCTCTCCGCACCAAGAGAGTTGTTGTCTTGCTATTGGGTGTAGTGACAACTCTGTCTCTTTCTGGGATTATTTAAAACTGAAAGCAAATTTCCATGTCAGATGTCCAGGTTAGTCTTTCCAAGGTGTTATAAATCCAAGTTTATGATTGATTGCTCAATGATTTTGGTCTATCATTAATTGTGCAAGTGGTAAAGTTCTGCTGCACCTTTTGATCCTAGATATCGAAAAATGTCTAGTATATGGAAGTTAAAACATATTTCAATATTTTGGAATCATGATTAGTGTTTTAGATTGAGTACTACAAGTATCTGATTCCATTGATTGTTGGTAATACTTGTTTTGTTGATTGAAGTCGTATTATTGATTATGCACAGCAGTGTTCATCCATTTGATTTTTTTTATTTTTTATTCATTTATAGATAGGTGCCTTTTGTATTCCATGCGGATTTGGGGTGAAAAGGTTGAAGCTCTTCGTATTGCATCTGGTACTATTTACAATGAGGTGGCTACTCTTTCCTTCTTGTGATATTTTCTCCAAATTATCACATGCTGTTTGTTTTCAGATGGACTTTGCTATTGTGATCTACAAACCTTACCTTTATGCTGTGTTTGGTTGGAGGATTTGGTGGGAAGAGATTGGAAAGGGAAAAGGAAAGGGGAAAGGTAGGTGAAATGTGAATAAAATATACTTAAATTTCACCTAATTTTACACAACTTTTCCCATTTAGGTGTGAATAAACTCACATTTCACCTACCTTTTTCCTTCTTTTTTCCGAATCTCTTCCCAAATCGTCTAACCAAACACGGCATTAATGTCCTGGTTATTCATCTGATTTAAAAGTTTATTCTTTTTTTCCTTTACTGTTTTCTTTTTAACTGCGACTATGCTATAATCAATCTCTGTTATTATGGTTGATTAAATTAAATATAAGGATGGTGATTGGACAGGTTAATTGATACCTCACTCTGTGCTCGCTCTGTCATGGCAGTGATGTTACATCAATCATTCACTGTGATGGAGCTCACTTAACAATTACCTAATGGCTATAATGTTTATGAACTGAAGGACCAGAGTATTAGTTATAAAGGATATAACAAAGTAATTGTAGAATTTATGGGAGGTAATTGTGTTTTTTAGGTAGCAAAAAGGATATTATGGGTTTGTTTTGGATAAGTGAGGTTTCATTTTGCCCATGTTTCAATTGATACCCAATAAAACAAAACTACACATTGACTGGTCAGGTTTGGCATTGGTTTTTTAAACTATATAAGGTTCATCTATTTTTGAAAGAGAGCCCTGATGTTGGACAGGACATTGAGAGTTTTAAAATCTGAAATGGTAGGTTTTCATGGGATTGTTCTGGATGCTGCAAACAGTATCCGTGGACAATTTTTTATTTATTTAAAAAAAAATGGGGGTACTTGTGGGTTGTTTCAAGTGATCTAGGGTTAGAGAATTAGGATGGAAGGTTTAGACTTAGAAAATAGGATGTAAATATTGAAAGGAACAAATCCGGTTGAGCTGTTAAAGTGCAGCAAATTCAACAATGGAAGAAGGAGAAGAAGATAGTTTTAGGAATCACTTCTAGAGGCCATAGGTATTGCACTTAGGATTTAATTGCATCACATAATTCAGAAAAAAGCTTGAAAAGCTTAATAAAATTCTTCAAAACTTATTCTTCATTGGATTAGATGCATTACATTGCTTGATATAGACCTTGGAGAGGAGACTTACTACTTCAATTAAGACTAGTATTTCTAAAAAAATAAACTATAGTTTTAGCTTCTAAATCCTATTCAAGACCAAACATATCCTAATTCATAACTCGTCTATGTGAGGACTCATCAGCAATCCCTGCAGCCATGTCCAAAAATTGTGCAAATTACCAAGATATTCAGGATTTATAAAACTAAATAAATAATATAGAAAATTAAATAGATTTATTCCTAGCTCAAGTAATAATAAAATAAGATTCTACTAAACCTAAAATCTTAATTACATTGTTGGTCTAATTGATCTCAATTTCCAAACTTAGTTACTTGTTTGTTTATTTATTTATTTTGTTTTGGGCAAATTACATATACACCCCTCCAGGTTTGACAAAATTACAGATACCCCCCTAAGGTTTGAGAAATTACGAATTCCCCCCTGAATGCTATATTTGCATAAGAAATTAGGGGGTAATTTGTTATGAAATATAAACCTCAGGGGGTAAATTGTTATGAAAATACAAACCTCAGGGGGCGGGATGTAATTTCCGAAACCTCAGGGGGGTATCTGTAATTTAACCAAACCTGGAGGGGTGTATACGTAATTTGCCCTTTCAACTGTTGGGGGAGTATTTTATTTTTTCCAAATTTTTTTTTTCTCTACGTCCATCTAGCAGTGTGCACCACCCCACATTTACCTTGTGTCCACATTTACCTTGTCTCACTTGCCATGTCTCCACTTTCTGCTTGGTTTGGATGAAGGTGTTCCTTTGCTTGGCGTGGTTGGTGCCCCTGCCGCCTCACAAATCTGGACCATTGCCATTCAAAACGAGATTTGCAATAGTTGCTGCTGTAAAAGTGAGCACCAACATGATGGTTGGTTGAGAGCATTCTATGGTCACCCCTAGCATCTAATAAAAAGTGATTATTAGATGGTATAAATATTTTTTAGCACTTAGGAAATGTACTTCATTCTCTGAATTTGGCCTGACTGTAACCTTATGCTGTTAATAACATTGAAATGTGTCATCACCATAGTTCTCTTGGATTTTTTCCCCATGGGTATTATCTTTGTAGAAAATAACTTCCATATCATGGCACGTAGTTAAGATATTTTCAGTTAGAGATGCTATGACATTGGCTTACTATTTCAAAGATGAATTTTTTTTCCTTCTAGTTATATCTTTAAATTACATGAATTTTAAAAAAAGAGTTGATTTGGCAGATTATTGTGTGGAAAGTGGTTCATAGCAACCATACTTCATCAAAAAGTCCAGTGAAAGACCATGTTAGTATGATCAGTTCTTTCGACAAAGGTCTCCAGTTTCATGATCAGCAATACGAATCTGTTCACATGTGCAGACTTGCTGGACATGAAGGTTCAATATTTCGCATTGCTTGGTTCTCTGATGGATCCAAACTAATATCTGTCTCTGATGATCGTAGGTGTGTAAGTTTCTTGACTTTTACTATTCCAGTTGTTGTTTCATGAACTCTGAGACTTTAGGGAAGATATTCTATATGATAATTTTGTTGTCTTTGTTTCTGCAGTGCTCGTCTCTGGACCGTTCATGCTGAAAGGAAAGAATTTGATAATTTCGCGGAGATTCTTGGCTCTCACTCAGTTGGTCCTGTTTTGTTTGGACACAGTGCTCGGGTTTGGGACTGCTGTATATTTGACTCTGTGAGCTCCAGAAAACAATTCTTTTATAGCTTCCATTTTTATTTTCTCATAAACATGATTATAAGTTGAATACAAACTACCAACACAAGTCCATACCCAGATGAAAATGTTTCTCATCGATGTTGTCTTGCTCCCTTCTTCTGAAAGGGTGCTATTTACTTATGAGGATTATGTCAATTATTAGTGTTCAGTCAGGTAATTTCAATGTTTGTTTTGCTATGTTTTTTTAATTGCTTGAGAATTATGCTGAATTTACTTTGATGATATTGTTGTGGTTGGTTAGGGTGTGCCTGAAATGCTTTTCCCATGGCTAATGGTTGGAATTTGGTTTCTTCCAAATATTTTGTAATGTCAGCAAATATAATATGAGGTGGTCAGAATGGGGAGGAATTTTGTTTGCAATGCTGAGCTATTGGTCAAAACTGAAACTAGGGCTTGCTGCAAATGAAAGCAATTTAGTATATTTGTCCTCTGATTCTATGGTCAATTGTTATTAAATAGTTTTTCCCATTTTTTTTGGTGTCTGATTTCATCAATGGGAATATTGTTTCCATTGTTCCAGAGATGGCTTCATGATTGCCAAGTAATTATAACTGAATATTGTGCCAATTCATGGTCACATAGCAGCATTTGGGTGTGAATACGATCAATGATATGAAGTGTTGTTCAACTTCTAATGTTATCATAATTCTTGTGATAATTTTTCCAATGACGAAGCTTTTAGACATTACAACAATGATGTTGTTTTTCTAAACTGGACGGCATATTATGGGGTAAAGTCAATTTAGCCCTTTTCAATTTGGCCTTGACCTATTAAGGATTTATATTTGACTACAACATGGGTTTCATGGAATTTAGTCATGCATTTCATATGTTTTCCCAAAGCTAAAGCTTCTCTCTCTACTGTTCTATATGTAAAGTTGGTATATTTTCTGTCTTTTTAATGCGGATAGGAACTAACTTTCTTCTGCATGGGGCTTCACTCAGTTAATAGTCACTGTTGGCGAGGATTGTACATGTCGTGTGTGGGGACTGAATGGTAACCAACTTAAGATGATAAGGGAGCACATGTAAGTTAAGTTTGCAATTGTGCATGTGTATTTTGATGTGCCATAGCTTGAAGTGTAAGACCTTAAATTGCACTTATTTTAATATTCTACAATGTTGCAACTGAGCTTGTTAATACCACGGATCATGAGCCTACATAACCAGAATGCCCACACAGTACAGTTAGACCAAATCTTGTTGTGTAGTTATGATGCTGAGATAATGCCGAACCAGTTTAGGTTGTCGACTATTCACATGCCACATCATGGGTTCGTTCAACTCTTCTGATCAATTTGGTTTGGGCATCCTAAGAAGTTTATCATCTTGTCAAGTTATTCTACAATTTGTCAGTACTATTCTTTTCCTTTTATTATTATTTGGAGTATGAAAGATGAATTCTGCTATGCGGTTTCTCTTTTCCAGAAGCCTTTCATTCAGATAAAGCATCGTATCTGTTAAATGTTTTTCTATTATCAATGTCATGTGTGTATGGCCCCTCTCCTTTTAGAATTTTTAATTTAGAGTAGATGTTTTTGGTTGATGGCCTGGCCATTCTATACCATCACTCATTTGAACACCTAATTGGCGCTGTTCTAGTGTTTTCTTCACCATGCTGTTACCTTTTCCCTCATGTTTCTTTACTACATTGACATTTTTTTTCTTGATTTCAGTTGTTACATGGAAGAAAAGTCTTCTCATGTTTGAGAATTTTTTATCATTAGGGATAAGGCCCAGACCAGACGATGTTAATAACCCTAACTGAATTTGCTGCCATTTGGTTTTTTTTTTTTTTTTTTGGTGTAAAATTGTGATCGGGGTTGATCCCCGGCATGAAGAAATGACAAGTTTGTGGAATGTTTTTGGTGTTATTTTTTGTTGTTGTTTTGTTTAATAATAAAAATTAAATAAAATAAAAAATAGATAAAAAAATATTTTTGGATGGGTTATGTGAGAAAGATCGGTGTGAGGTGGATGACGAAGGGAACATGGATGTTTCAAAATAAATATTTTTTTTTTTTTTTTTTTGAATGAAAAAGGGAAGATAAAATAAAATAAATAAAGGTAAAGTGGGGTGCAAAAAAAAAGTAAAGTGAGAGAGAGAAAATCTTTTTGCCGGATTGTGAGAGAGAAAGCTTAGATGCAAGTTTTCTTACTCTCTCAAAAACAACACAGCATTTGCTTGCCCTCGGGGGGTGCACGGGCAGAAAGAGAGCATTTTTTGAGCCAAAGACCCAGCACACAGATAACACACTACACACGGCATCAACCTCTCGGCACCTCTTTCTCTGCAACTCCCTCTCTAGCTCTATCTCTCTATCGGCAGAGAGTTGGAGTAAAAAAAAATATATACTAATGAGTGAGCGGAATGAGCGCCGGAATCAACATCGCCGGCGAGAGAATCGGTGGCAGTGGAAGATGATAATTTCAGCAACCCGTGTGTTCTTCGAGAGGGAGAGAAGAGGAGAGCCCAGGTCTCCACCCTCTATCAGAGATATATATATATATATATAGATGTATTTGGGTGGTGCAGAGAGAAACCGAATGGCGGTGATGAAGGTGCAGAGAGAAAGGAAGAGGATGAGAAGGGTTGGAGAGGAGAATGTGAGGTGGGTTTTCATGGCCATCATTGATGAAGGTTCGAATGCACTGTTGGGGAGGTGTGACAGCCGGCGGAGCTTGTCCACGGAACATTTGTTGTCCAAGACCAGAACCACCTGAGGGGCATATTGGCATACAAGGAGAAACTAAATGTGCCACTGCAACTGGACACATTTGAGAAAGTTGAGCCTGAGATGGGTTTGTTTGTGTTCAATCAAACTGCCGAGAGAGAGAATGATGGGAAGGTATGTGTAGAAAATAAACGGAATAGGTTGAGTTCCGGCGGGCGGCTAAGGTGAGGTTGCCGCCCGCCGGGGAAGCGGAGACTACCAATCTCTAGCAATATGATCAAATCACCAGCAAACAAAGTGTTAAAATGATGTATTATTGATTGATATCTGATTGATTAATTACAATTCCTATACAATCTATATATAGAAGAAAATGTGGTAATAGGTGTAGTGGAGGTGATAGTGGGTTAGGTGAAGTGGAGTGTGTGGTGAAGTGGAGGTAGGTGAAGTGGAGTGTGTAGTGGAATAGGTGAAGGTAAAGATGGGAAATTCTAACAGATTATAAGTTGAATACAAACTACCAACACAAGTCCATACCCAAATGAAAATGTTTCTCATCGATCTTGTCTTGCTCCTTTCTTCTGAAAAGGTGCTATTTACTTATGAGGATTATGTCAATTATTAGTGTTCAGTCAGGTAATTTCAATGTTTGTTTTGCTATGTTTTTTTAATTGCTCGAGAACTATGCTGAATTTACTTTGATGATATTGTTGTGGTTGGTTAGGGTGTGCCTGAAATGCTTTTCCCATGGCTAATGGTTGGAATTTGGTTTCTTCCAAATATTTTGTAATGTCAGCAAATATAATATGAGGTGGTCAGAATGCGGAGGAATTTTGTTTGCAATGCTGAGCTAATGGTCAAAATTGAAAGTGGGGCTTGCTGCAAATGAAAGCAATTAAGTATATTTGTCCTTTGATTGGTTGGGACGCAATGCCAAACATCCACATTCGCCTTCGTATATTTTTTAGATAACACAACAATAGATGAGACCCTCATTTGCGAATCTTCTGGTATCTCACTCGTAAAATACTTCAAATATCCCTTCATTTTACAATATGTTACACCCCTTTTAATATTCGAATCTTCAAGTGGTCAATTGCTATTAAGTAGTTTTCCCCATTTTTTTTGGTGTCTGATTTCATCAATGGGAATATTGTTTCCATTGTTCCAGAGATGGCTTCATGATTGCCAGGTAATTAAAACTGAATATTGTGCGAATTCATTGTCACATAGCAGAATTTGGGTGTGAATACAATCAATGATATGAAGTGTTGTTCAACTTCTAATGTTATCATAATTCTTGTGATAATTTTTCCAATGACGAAGCTTTTAGACATTACAACAATGATGTTGTTTTTCTAAACTGGACGGCATATTATGGGGTAAAGTCAATTTAGCCCTTTTCAATTTGGCCTTGACCTATTAAGGATTTATATTTGACTACAACATGGGTTTCATGGAATTTAGTCATGCATTTCATATTTTTCCCAAAGCTAAAGCTTCTCTCTCTGCTATTCTATATGTAAAGAAGTTGGTATATTTTCTGTCTTTTTAATGCGGATAGGAACTAACTTTCTTCTGCATGGGGATTTACACAGTTAATAGTCACTGCTGGCGAGGATTGTACATGTCGTGTGTGGGGACTGGATGGTAACCAGCTTAAGATGATAAGGGAGCACATGTAAGTTGTGAGTTTGCAATTGTGCATGTGTATTTTGATGTGCCATAGCTTAAAATGTAAGACCTTAAATTGCAAATATTTTAATATTCTACGATGTTGCAACTGAGCTTGCTAATACCACGGATCATGAGCCTACATAACCAGAATGCCCACACAGCACAGTTAGACCGAATGTCGTTGTGTAGTTATGATGCTGAGATAAGGCTGAACCAATTTAGGTTGTCGACTATTCACATGCCGCATCATGGGTTTGTTCAACTCATCTGATGGCATCCTAAGAAGTTTATCATCTTGTCAAGTTATTCTACAATTTGTCAATACTATTCTTTGCCTTTTATTATTATTTGGAGTATGAAAGATGAATTCTGCTATGCAGTTTCTCTTTTCCATAAGCCTTTCATTCAGATGAAGCATCGTATCTGTTAAATATTTTTCTATTATCAGTGCCATGTGTGTATGGCCTCCCTCCTTTTAGAATTTTTAATTTAGAGTAAATGTCTTTGGTTGATGGCCTAGCCATTCTATACCTTCACTCATTTGAACACCTAATTGGCACTATTCTAGTGTTTTCGTCACCGTGCTCTTACCTTTTCCCTCATTTTTCTTTGCTACATTGACATTTTCTTCTTGACTTCACTTGTTACATGGAAGAAAAGTCTTCTTATGTTTGAGAATTTTTTATCATTTGAGATAAGGCCCAGACTAGACTATGTTAATAACCCTAACTGAATTTGTTGCCAAAATTGGACTAACAACTTCCACTGGCTGATTAAGAATTTGTGTATCTAGGCTCATATTCCTTCTAATTTGCATCAAGGTTTTCTATGCCTCTAAATTTTGATTATCCCCTTTTTCGTAGTAGTGTTGTGTCACTGCATGGACAAATTGTTGACAAGTAAAGTAGTAGGACTCTTCTTGTAATTTCTTTTCTAATTAGATGCCTAACAGAAGTATTTGGCTCATTTGAGTCGAGTTTTTCCTGCTATCAGAGCAGATCGAGCAAAATGAAAAAATTACCCATTTCAATATGCCCAGCTAGAAAATTTCCATATGCCCAGAAAATTGCTCATTTACAGTCTCTGTTTAGGGAAAAAATGCTCAGAAAATTTTGTTTTCATTACATTACATTCTCCTCAATTCTCTATTTTACCCCTAAACCGCACTTGGGGTGGAGATACTGCGAATTGCATTCCCTGCAGTGCTGACATTAGTTGCTGACCCCATTGCTTCTCTAATTGACACAACATTCATTGGTCTCTTAGGTCTGTCTTGATGTTCTTTTTTGTTTTCTCCTGAATGACCTTAATTACTTTTTACTTGAATAATTTCTTGAGTTAATTGCACCTTGTGAATCAGGTATGCTTTTAGTTCAAATAGTAAGGTCTGTTCGTGGGGAAATAGCAGTAGAGTTCATATCCTACTTTGAGGGCAACTCTACCAGTTGCTATACATTGTGCTATTGCTAAAATTTAGCAAGATGGACACAAAAAGGGGAAAAAAAAAACAACTCTAGCAGTGTGCTATCATTGTGCCAAATTTAGCATGATGCTATCCACATCATTGTATTTTTAATATAAATTCAATAACTTAATTTAATTTTTTTTAAGATAAGTGTTATATTAAATATTTAGAATTTGAAAGAATTCCATCAGCAAATACCTATTATTAAATTTTATTTAATGCAAGTATGAATAAAGCTAAATGAATTGAAGTTTTGGATATATCAATTACTGAATTATAAGTTTAGTTTAACATTACTCAAATACATATAATTTGGTACATGTGGTAGAAATTAAATCATGCTAAAAAATAGCATTTGCATTGCTGGAGTGGGTTTCTCAAAATATTGCATTTTGATATTGTAGTGTGCTAAATTATGGCATTGGCACGAGTGAAACAGCACAATCTACTGGAGATGTTCTGTATTATTGCCTTCATGTATCAACAATACAACAAATCTTTGTATTTTTGTGGTGGTACCACTATGAAGATTATCAAATAAATTTTGTTCATTACAACAAGCTCAACAATCTACATGTTAGCAAGTTAGTAGTTAAATTACCATGTAGGTCAATGCCTCTCCATAGACTCGAACCTAAGACCTCACACTAGCACTTAAGTGCCCTCTCAAAACCACTTGGGCTACAGTCCGGGTCTTCAACCACATTTTTGTTCGTGTACTACAAAATCAGTTACTACTGGCATTTTTAGATGGATCAAATGTCACTGTTCGGTGTGTGGTCTAGACATGTAATTAGCCATGACTCACGAGGGATGCAGTTGTGCAATCTAGCTCATCGAGATCCCTTTGCAGAGTTTCATTCCTATAATAATTTATTCGGATGCAGTTTGTTGAGTAAATTTTGGTCCTTCAGATAATTTTTGTTATCTTATAGGTCCAGTGCCACTTGCTGCAGTAGGAGTCTCAATTGCTATTTTCAATCAAGCGTCAAAGGTTACCATTTTTCCACTTGTCAGCATTACCACTTCTTTTGTTGCTGAGGAAGATACTGTTGGTAGAATAAACAGAGAGGCTCTCGAAGATGAGAATACAGAAAAGATTTCAGCCAAAAAGAATGAAATGAAACAGTTGACACTGGAAGGTGTTGTGCTTGAGAACCTGGAAGAGGGTTTAGGCACAATCTGTGAAATGAAAGAGTTGATGCCAGAAGAAGGTATTGACCAGATAATTTGATCTACATATTGCCATTATGTTGGTGCATACTAGGTCATGTAAATTGGCTTTTTTAACCCTTGATAACATGTGTACACTTCCTTTGCGATAGCCCTATTTGGTTGTCAAAAAACAATCATGAATATGTTTTCTTATTCCTATGCAGCGCATGCAACTTAATTATCCTGTTCCCTGCAGGTTTTGGATAGGAAAAGTTGGTTGAGTCAGTTGCATTGAAAGTGCTTAAATAATACACCATAAGGTTTCTGGAGTTTACTAGTCATGGCTAAGAATGGTGATATGCCTGTGCAGGAGAGAAAGTGGAAGTTGCCACTTTTTATTTTCTTCCAAGATGCCAGGTACAGTTTAACTATGTTGTATTTGCAAATTATCTCAAGTTCTGCTAGTGCTATGTAGGTGGCAAAGAATTTGTGTTGTTAATAAGAAACATGATACTGATGATTACGAGGAAAGCTTCAACCTTTAAAAAGTATCTATTTCTTGATTGTGACATGCTTAGCAAGATGAGTTCATCTCTTCAGATAGAGCAGACTGAGATTTGATACTTGCAGTTTAGCTCGGATTGTTTTGTTTTCTAAGCGGTGCATCATTTATTTATAATTCCAGGGAACTTTATCATTCAGTCTGTCAGATACTTTCTCTGAAAAGGAATGTAACAGATATATATGATTCTACTGGCTGATTTTTGTTCGGTAAATTGTTTTTTAGGCATATTTTCAAGTTGGATGCACTTGGGGTGGAGATACTGCAGATTGCATTCCCTGCAGCGCTGGCATTAGCTGCTGACCCCATTGCTTCTTTAATTGACACAGCATTCATTGGCCGCTTAGGTCTGTCTTTATGTTCTTTTTTGTTTTCTCTTGAATGACCTTGATTACTTTTTACTTGGATAATTTCTTGAGATAATTGCTCCTTGTGAATCAGGTATGCTTTTAGTTCAAATTGTGAGATCATATCTCACTTTGAGGGCAACTCTACCAGTTGCTATATATTGTGCTATTGCTAAAATTTATAGTGCTATCGATTTTCGATCAATTTGATTTTTTACAGAAATGTTACTCAAAAAATCCTAAATATCATACGGTTCGAATAATCAAGATGAAACTTGAAATAGGCCTCATGGATTGAACAACAGTAACTGTTGTGCAAATGGCACAATAGCTACCCTTCATCCTTGGCCATTACCTCTTGTCAACTACTTCACCAACTTATTTTCAAAACAAGAAGTTAAAAATACTTAAGTACCAAAATATGATTTTTGTTTTTGTTTTTACCAAAAAATAATATAAACATGTTTGATTTTTTTATTAAAAAAAATGTGAAAGTTATCAAATAGTACTTTAGAATATTTTATTAATGTTGAAATTTTTTTTGACATAACATGTTCACAAAGACGCAATAACACAAAAAATAAAATAAATTGTTTAAACTAATATTCAGAAAATTCTAATACAAACTCGATACGACATGACATGAACACAACTAGTATGATAAAATGCCTCCTTAAAAAAAAAAAAAAAAAAAATTCTAAAAGTTTGCTTGTTCTTCTTGAGTGATCCTATTTTCACGTTTTAAATTTTTAGTACCCATTTTCTCTCAGTACACACTAAGGGTTGGTTTAGGATGTTCTAAAAAAGTACACTTTTTAACTTATTGGCTTATATGGGTTGGGTTTGAAAAAATTATTTTTTAATTTTTAAAAATTATTTATACCCACCAAAGATGAAATTATATCAAATTGATAAATCTTTTACATATTTATTTATTTATTTTTAACAAATTAATTTTTAATATATGTTTGGATGATGATCATGTAATGGGTGGTTATTTTTATTTTCTTTAAATTAGTTTCTATTTTTTCAAAATTCAAATATGGCGACAATTTTGATATTATTATTAAACCAATCCATTAAATGAAAAAAATCCAAAACTAAAAAAATTTCATATGTTCAATATATCGATTACATATTAAAAGCCTAATAACCATCATTACATGATAATCATCCAAAAATATCTATTAACAACAAATACAACCATCTATTACATAATAACCATAAAAAGCATCAAATAAACAACCAACCATTACATGATCATCATCTAAACACATAATAAAGATTTAATTTGATAAAAATAAATAAATAAATGTGTAAAAGATTTATCAATTTTACATAATTATCTTTGGTGGGTAGAAATAATTTTTAAAAATTCAAAAATATTTTTTTGACATTTATCTTTGTCAAATTAGTTTATATTTGATCAAATTGACGATTTTGCCCTTGAAATTGAGCAATGTTATCTTCAATTGTCCTTATTTGAAACATGATTCAAAATTCAGGGTTAAATGTGTCACAATTTAAAAGTCAAGGAACAAAGTGACACGAGCCCCAAATTATAGGGACTGTTAGTGTAATTCGCCCTTATTTCAATGTATATGGCAGTTGCCATGATGGTGGCTAATAGAGTGATAATGATGCAGGTATGATCCAAGTGTTGAGGAGTGGTCTGCATCAAGTCTTCTTGGGGAACATGTTGGAGGATCAGCAGTGAGATCTATATGTTTTGTTTCAAAGATACATAAACTTGCAGCAGATGTGACCAACATGCCTAATGGGATAAATAGACTAAATGCTGACTTGGGGGATAGAGAGAATCCTTGCTTACTAATTTCAGTTGGTGCAAAGCGAGTTCTCACTTGTTGGAAACAAAAGAATAGAATAACAAAATTCGAGGAAGAAGCTAGTATGACTAAACCACATGATGCAACTGGAAGTGGCTTTAAGCCATCATCACGAATGTTCTCACCAATGTCGTTCCAGTGGCTTTCCACTGACATGCCAAACAAGTATTATAGCACCTGTGAAATAAGAGAGAACACTGAGAAAGTAGGAACAGCTGAAAATGTTGTGGGTTCTGATGCAGCATATGCATCACCTTTTCCAGAAGCCAGGAAGATAGAATCAAAAATCTACCTTGGAGATAAATATGAAAATGACTGGAGATACCTGGCTGTTACTGCTTTTCTCGTTGAGGTTACTTATTCCAGGTGGAGTTGATAACAATAACCTGTCATGCTTACTATACTTTTTAGTCTAAATTATCTAATTCCAACATTGATGACATTGTCTCATTATTGCCACCCTTTCAGGTTAACTGTCTGTTTCATTATTGTTGCTTGTTCAGATGCCACACTTGCATTACGAGCTCTCTTATTACCCTATAGGCTTTGGTATGCCTAAAGCCACCTTCATTTGGTTTACGTGATGGTTTGCCATCAACTAATTCAATTTTAACCTTTACCCTTACCTGGTATTATTTGCTATTTCTTTTCATGCCTCATTTCAGGTTTGATGTTGCATTATTGGTTCCCCTACCATCACCCGTTTTGGCATTGCAGCATATCATTATTCCTATGGGTTTGCCTTCTGAAGGTTGGATTGCTGTTTGTCTCTTCTTTCGATCAACAACTTAATCTAATTATTGTAGAAATCTCAAGTCTGAAGTTTCTTCTGAATGTTTTTAGAGTTTGGAAATTACTGTACTTAACAAACATGCCTCCTGATGTAGAGAAGAAGGAAAAGATAAGAGAGGAGAAGAAGGAGGAAGAGGGTAAGAGAGCACAGGATAAATCAATCAAATCTGAATTCTATTCATGTTTGGGAGACCAAATGTGGTTTTACGACAATATTACCTATTTACAGGTTTAAGAAAACTCTAATAATTCATAGAAGAGCAATGCTATACAGAATTCAATTTCTTACCTTATTTTCTCACTCCTAGATAAAAACAGTGGGGGCCACATTAATAAATGCACATGAGACCCATTCACTTGTGTCTAAGAGTGAGAACAAGAGGTAAGAAATTGATCAAATGTTGCATTTTTCTTCATAGAAATCTTGTAGAACTCTTCATCCCCAATATAGATATTAAATAAATCTAAAATCCTATCACCGAAGCCACTAAAAAGTCTTAAAAGAAAGAAAAAGACGACATTATCTAAAAAGACTCTTAATTATGCTGATCACTTAAAACTTTTGATCAATTTATTATCTTGTTGTGAGCATCACATGAACTTGAATACATCAATCTCCCTTTGTTGGAGAAAACTCGACCTTGAATTTTGTTGATCTTCAACATTGAGAAGGTTTTTAGTTGAATGATTGTTCTCTATGATACTTAACTGATACAACTTGACCTTCATGTAGATTTCTTTGAACACGTGATGGTAAGAATATGATGGTTTGTGTTTTATTATTTTATTTTAAAGAAAGTATTATAAGACATGTCCCATGGACTTGAGTATGAGTATCAAGTGTGGGTGCATGTCCAAGCATTAGATGTTCATAAACCTGAAACTCAGGATATTGTGATATGCATCCAAAAGATATATTTGTACAGGGCATATTGTTTAATATCCTTAGATAAAGATGTAAATTAAATATACTTGAAATTAAATAGAATTTAGGAAAGATATGGAATTTTATCTTCTTTCTGTATGAGAGGCTAGAAATATTTCTTTACTGGCAAATGCGAATTTCTTCTTCATCAAACATTGTAAAAAATTAGAGAATTCTAGTATCTTCATTGGATACGGGTGTTGGACACATATACCACACTGTTATCCTTGTCATATCCCATGGGCATGGGTACTTTTGGAGGAAATAGAAGTGTCCATCTAACACATGTTATAAAGATAGAGTTGAAAAAAATCAAAGAGAGCTGAATAATAAGATACGATAGGAAAAAAATATAAAGAAGAGAGGAGATAGCGAGAAGTTAAAAAAGAGATGAGAGAGAGAATATAGACGTTAATACCCTTTGAAAGAGGAAGAGTAAACAATTATTCAACTCATATTTCTTTTATTTTCTTGCATGTTATTGTTAATGATTATTCAAAAACTTGATGCACAGATAATGTTCAGACTGGAAGCGTGTATCTTTTAATTAGTGGATCTACTGATGGGAGTATTACCTTTTGGGATTTGACTGAAAGTGTTGAAAATTTTATCCGGTCAGTGTCAGATTTTCATATAGAAAAGTCTATTGATTGTCAGAAAAGGCCACGCACGGGAAGAGGAAGTCAAGGTGGGCGATGGTGGAAAGCATTGGGCAGTGGCATCTCTACTAAAAACCGAGGTGATAATTCAGTCACGGCAAGAACCATTGAGGGAACTGGCAAAAATATGCTAAATACTGTTGGTTGTGGAACCCCATCAAAGTGTACTGATTCTGAAAGAGGTGCAACAGCTTGCACTCAGCCTATCTATACTCCTTCCATAGAAGAAGAGAAGTTGGCTGATTCATCGTTGGAATTATGTAGAATATGGCCCTTGAAAATTTTGAATAACATTCACCAATCTGGGGTCAATTGTCTCCACATTTCTAGTATCCAGAATAACAGAGGTTCCAACTTTGCCTATATGTACTATGCTTTAAGTGGGGGTGATGATCAAGCACTTCACTGTCTTGGGTTTGATTTGCAAATTCTACCGTCAAACCAGTACTCCGAGAACCAGGATCATGACATTGGTCACGGTGTTAGTGAATCTATGAATAACTTCATTCACCATGGTCAGAACCAAAACTACAGTATCAGATTTTTCTATCATGACAAAGTTGCATCAGCTCACAGCTCTTCTGTAAAAGGTACAATATTGAATGCTTTACAATTACTTGTCTACCATTATCCATGTCCATTCTTTTTGGAAAATTAGGACAACACCAAAGGTGGTTGCTGTTTTTGTTTTACAATTTTTTTTAAAAAAATATTTCGTTCTACACTAGATACGAAGCTTCTATGTTGTGCACTTATGAAGAGCCTTTCTCTTCCATTTTTTCCTTGTATAATATCATCTTGTTAAAGATTTTCCTGAGTTTTGCGTTAGGATCTCGAAATGTTTAAATAATATGTAGTGCTCATGACATGTAAAATGCCCTTGGGTCTGTGCCACATACTGGCAACAATTCAAGGACAAGGACAGGCCTGAACCTTTTTTTAGTACTTTCGAGCAAGTTCTGTTATGGAGAAATTCTTGAAAACATTTGATCTGAATGATGAAATGAAATTTGGTTTCATTTTGTGAAGGAATCTGGACAGACGGGTGTTGGGTGTTCTCTACTGGTCTTGATCAGCGGATAAGGTGTTGGCTCCTTGACGAGCATGGAAAACTAAAAGAGTATGCTTGTTTAATCATTAGTGTGCCAGAGCCAGAAGCATTGGATGCTAGAACCTGGGGCAAGTAAGAATATTATTCATTATTCAGCTTGCACTCCTGGCAATCCTTTTCCAATAGCATTTCACAATTATGATCCTTGTAATTTACATTGTTTTTCTTATTCTGGTTCTCTTTATGTCTTTTATCCAGAGACTCTTATCAGATCATAGTTGCTGGCAGAGGGATGCAAATGGTTGAGTTCTCCACCTCCTGTGGCATGGATAATGGAGACTGAGTCCATGGGCGGGGTTATGCGTCAAGTAGACTGAAACTTCGAATTTTTTTTTAGGAATTATGAGCCTTTTTTGAAAGGTTTTCATAAATACACCATTATAGTAGTTCAGAAAAATATATTTATCGACAAAAAAAAATGTTTTAAAAAAGTAATTAATCCTATGTTTGTCATAATTTTATGAGTAATGCTATAGACTTCAAAAGTTCTATTAAAATTTATACCAAATGTTTCGCATGGGTGTGAGACCCACACCATATGAGTCTCACACCCATATAAGACATTTGATAGAACTTTTGGGATTTCTAGCATTTTTGTAATTTTATACCACTTTTTGTTTAGCACTGATAACTATTAATGGTTGAATACAGTGCCGGCTTAAGCATTAAGGCAGGTAAAGCATGTGCTTTAGGATTCAAAATTGTGCGAAAGCCCCAAAATTTTGGGAATATTCTCGAAGGCCAAGAAACCTGACGCCTTCTTGGATGAAGGATTCTAAGGATAACTTTAGGTTTTTACAAGAAACCTCCAGGCTAGAGTGAATCTCTTGTAAACGAGAGTGGATTATTTAGGATAGCAATAGTGAATCTCTTCTATTCAGGGCCACCCAAAGTTGGACATTTCATATTTTAACTCTATTAATTTTATTTGCCTATTTGGTCTTTGCAAGTTTTCGTGGGCTTGCTTTGGTAGATGTGTCAGTGACTAGTGTATGGGAGAGAAGGATAAAAAGGAAAGTCGGAGTAAAAATGGTTGTTGAGTAAGGATTTTATGCATCTCCATACATAGACTAACACAAAGAAACAGCCAGCCTCCTTCATATACTGAAAGTGCCATGGCTGAGCCTGGCCCTGGAGGGACCAGAATGCCTTCATTTTGGAGAATTGTATTTATTTGGTGTTTCTTCTTTCTGTAAATTAATGGTTTATTTTTTATGGATGATTAGTATTGAGCTTAGTCTGGGTATCTTGTAGTTGGTCTTTTGTGTGGTCGTTCATCAAGTATGGTCTGGTCTATCAATAGTGTAATCTGAACAATGTGTTTTTTTAATGCAATGTGATGTTCTTTTCTCTGCCAAAAATAAAATAAAATAAAATAAAATAATTCTAATTGTTTTCTTAATGAATTTTACACAATGAATAACGCATGCATGATGCAATGCAGGGTGGGTGTTAGCAGTACAAGTACAACCAAATGCACATTTGCACCCAAATTGCATGAGTCAGCCCTTCCAATGTGCTATTATTGCAGATTATTGACTTATGAAAAATACTTCACACTACTAGTTCAACACTATTAATACATACTAATGATATGGCACCATGTGGTTTTTGTTTTGTTTTGTTTTTTTCTTGCACTTGTTTTTTTTTTTGTTCTAACGGCTCTCCGAGTGAGAAATCTTCTGAGGATCAAGATCATCTCTCCCGAAGCACGAAGAAACTCAAAGCTCTTCAAGGGTCTGAAGAGGATGTTTGTATGGTGGACAGTATCTCAGGGAGGCAGGGGAAATTTGTTCCGTTGGGAAACAAGGGGGATTCCTCTACGGATGCTTTGGGTCCGACTATTCTCAAATCCAGATCTTTCAGAGAAGCCCTCACCAATAGGAGGTTTAATGACAGGCCTTTTGATGATGATTTAGATAAATTATCTACTGATGATGACGAGGCCGAAGAGGATGCAGATTTTTCAGAGGACGAAGCGGTTATGGAAGAGGAGTCAGACTTTGGGATCCCTCGTATTAAGCTTCCCCGAAATCTCGAGTAAAATACGGTGACCTTGGAAGGAATGCTTGATCATCAAGCTGCTAGGGAAATCTGTGGTGTATAAGTTGCTCATTACCAAGGTTCGGAAAATCTGGGATCTTCAAGGTGATTTTGAAGTCATTGATCTAGGGCTCAGTTATTTCCTATTTAAATTTCATATGAGGGAGGATTGTGCTAAGGTTTACACTGGCGGTCCATGGGTCATCCTGGATCATTATCTTACTGTCCGGAAATGGAGACCTGACTTTAAACCCTCTCAGGCAAAGAAAATTTCATCTGCTATGTGGGTTCGTTTTCCTCAGTTGCCTATTGAGTATTATAATGAAAAAGTACTTTTTCATATAGCTAAGGCTATTGGCAAACCATTGAAAATAGATATAAATACAGCCACTTCTTTAAGAGGTAAGTTTGCTCGAGTTTGTGTAGAGATGGATTTGAGTAAGCCACTGATATCGCATTTTGCTATAGGGGTGTATACGTATGGCATTGAGTATGAACATTTGCACTCTTTTTCTATTTCTCTTGCGGAAGGGTGGGACATCGGAGGGAACATTGCAGTGTGACTCCGATGAAAAACAACTGTGCCGGAGATCCGATCAACAAGCCTGGGGAAAATTCGACTGTTGCGTCGGAGTTGGTCAATGTAACAAGTCCTACTCCAATTGGGTTGGCCTGTCAACAGGGTGAGTCTTCAGAGCCCACTAGAGAAACTTTTGGTCCTTGGATGATTGTTAATAGACGAGGTTCCAGACCTAGTTCTAAGGGGCGAAAAGGTATACCCACTGAGTCCAAGGAAAAAGCCCATAATCCGGGTTCTAAGAGCCGAGTCCGTTTTAAAGGTGAGAGCTTTATGAGCCCAGCCCCATCTAATATAGGCCCACCTCTAGGTAATTCTATTTCCTTAGAGGAAGGTGTGGCTATCTCTAATCCTTTCAATAGTCTGTCTTCTACAGATGGTCAGCTCTGAGGAAGTTTGTAACAATAATTCTGATGGGACTACTCCAATTGTGTCTGTCATCCCTGCAACCCTTTGTGTACAAAGTTTCCAACCTCCCTTACCCAGATCTAAAGAACCACCTGACCCTTTACTCACAGCCTCTGAGGAAACCCTTAGTCTCATACCTAACCCCATTGTCCTCTATGGAGATTTCGGTTCCGAACCAGCACAGAGTCCAGACTGGCATGATTTATCTGTCGTTAGATCAAGAGACCGAAGCCTTTCACCTGGTAGACATCGATTGGTGGATCGGAGAAGCCCGCCTAATAGTCGAACAAAGAGGAGATGAACACTTACGGCACCAAGACTACTTTAGTAAGAGTAAAATCCATCAACTCAGTGGTCTTCGATCACATGAGAGTGAGGAAGATCTTGGGAACTCCTGAGCATGTTTCCCTACCGTCTTTTCCTAAAGCTATCTCCATGAAGTTACTCATTTGGAATTGCAGAGGTGCTGGAAACAAAGCCTTCAAACGCACCTTGAAGGAGTTAGAGAAGAATCATAAGCCTTCTATCATTGTGTTGATGGAAACAAAAGTTACTCTGAGTTCTATGGGTTTGTTTTTTAATAAGCTTGGGTTTACTGCTTCTTCTCATGTTAATCCGGTGGGCAGGAGTGGAGGCATATGGGTCTTGTGGGACCCATTTCGTGTCATAGTGAAAGCTCTTGACGTGAATGCTCAAGTTATTCATGCTAAGATCCAATGTGATGGCTACTCGGACTTGATCCTATCCGCCATTTATGCTAGTCCTAACCCGCTGCTGAGGGACACTTTATGGGAAAACCTGGAAGAGGTGGCCCAAAATATGAATCAACCTTGGCTAGCTGCAGGGGATTTTAATGATTATGTTGTGCAGAGTGAGAAACGTAGCTTCTCTACCAATACAAATGTTATTCGAACTCAGAAGTTTGCGGCTAGGATTTATGGATTTGGGTTGTTTTGGACCTAATCTTACTTGGTCGAATGGTAGGCAAGGCTTAGCTAACACCCTGGAGCGGCTAGATCGAGCAGTGTGCAATTCTGAGTGGCGACTTGCCTTTCCGGAGGGAGTAGTCAGAAGTCTTCCTCATACTTATTTGGATCATTCGGCATTGATTGTGTATACTCAAGGTATGTCTACTCTTAATTTGCTGGCTAGACCTTTTAGAATGGAGGCCGCGTGGTTTACTGAATCTAGTTTCACTAATATGGTCAAAAAATCTTGGTCTGATAGTCTTAATTCTTTACCTGAAGCTTTACAAACTATTACCCAAAATGCCATCTCTTGGAATAAAAATATTTTTGGCAACATTTTTCGGAAAAAAACGTTAGCTTTTGGGGCGTATTGAAGGGATCCAGAAGTCCCAGTCTCGGGTGTATACTCATAATCTGTTTCTTTTGGAAAGGGAGCTTGTGTAAGAGTATAACAAAATTCTCTTTCAGGAGGAACTTTTATGGTTTCAAAAGTAGAGGGCTAACTGAATAACTCAAGGGGAAAGGAACACTCGTTTTTTTTCATGTCTCTACTATTGCTAGAAGACGGAGAACGAGAGTTTCTTCTCTTAAGGATGGTGATGGTGGTTGGATCTCGGATCCTGGGATGATTAAGAGTCATGTTCTTAGCTATTTTTGTAATTTGTTCAAGCGGGATGGTGGGCAACCTTATTCTTTCACTAGTATTCCTCATCCTCGTCTTTCTTGTGAAGATAATTGTTCCCTTTCTCGTCCCATCTCCAACCAGGAAGTGTGGGAGGCGATTAAAAGTATTAAGGCCTTTAAGGCCCATGGGAGGGATGGCATTCCCTCTCTTTTTTATCACTCTCATTGGGAGATTGTTGGTCCTTCTGCTTGTGCTTTTATTCAGAAATGTTTTGTTACTAAATCTATCTCTCAGAGTTTTAAAGATACTTTGATTACTCTTATCCCCAAAATTGATAATCCGGAATCTTTTAATCATTTTCGGCCATTTAGTTTGTGTTCTGTTTTATATAAAACCCTTACTAAAATTTTGGTGAGTCGTCTTAGACCCATGTTGATTAATGTGGTGGGGCCCTTTTGGAGTAGTTTTATTCCTGGTCGTTCAACTTGTGATGATATCATTATTGTGCAAGAGCTTGTTTATACTCTTAGGAACAGAAGAGGGCGTAATGGGGACATGATTCTGAAAATTGATCTCGAGAAGGCCTATGACAATGTGTCATGGAAATTTCTCCACCATACTCTTTTGGATTATAACTTGAATGACTATTGGGTTAAGTTAATTATGAACCGTGTTACCAATGTCAATGCATCTATTCTTTGGAATGGGGAAAAGTTGCAGGACTTTCCTATGAAGAAAGGGCTAAGGCAGGGGGATCCGTTATCTCCTTATCTGTTTGTGCTTTGCATGGAGAGACTTTCTAATATGATATTGGCTAAAGTTAATGATAAAAGTTGGAAAGGGGTGAGGGCTTCTGTACAAGGCCCTGCTATTTCTCACCTCTTTTTTGCAGATGATCTTCTCCTTTTTGGTAAGGCGGTGGAAAGGAATTGTCAAACTATCATGGATGTTTTGACTGAGTTTAGTGTTATTTCCGGTCTTAAGCTAAATCTCCTGAAGTCCAAAATCTTTGTCTCCTAATGTGTCTATTTCAAAAGCCAGGAACTTGAGTGGGCTGTGTGGCATTGCTCTTAACAGATGTAATCGGAATCATTTTCAATTTACTTCATAACAGATGTAATCGGAATCATTTTCAATTTATTATTGATAAGATTCATAGTAGGCTTTCGGGTTGGAAAACAAGTATGCTCTCACTTACGGGGAGAGCTACTTTAATTCAATCAGTCACATCCGCCATTCCTAATTATTCCATGCAAACCATGCTTCTTCCCACCAATATTTGTAAGGTTATTGATAAGCTTAACCGTAACTTTTTGTGGGGTGACTGTGAGAATAAGAAAAGAATTCATCTGGTGAACTGGGCTACTATTTATAACAGTAAGAAATTTGGAGGGCTTGGTCTTCGTAAGGCTAACCTTCAGAATAGAGCATTGTTATCTAAACTGGGCTGGAGAATCCTTTGTAAGGACTCTAGCTTGTGGGTTAAGGTGTTGGAGAAGAAATATTTGCTCAATGATCAACTTATGACTTATTCTTCTAAAAGGAACTCCTCCCTTACTTGGAGGGGTATCCTTAAGTCGAGGGATGTCTTGAGAAAAGGTATCAAATGGGGGGTT